AAATTTTACAAAATGCCTCTTTGCAGTAGCGGATCATCTGAGGAATTAGGTTTGGTTGGTTGGTTTGTACACTTAGTTAGTCGATGGGCTACTGAAGGCCTCTGTGCACGAGGGTCTGTTAAACCATATTGTCTTCACGAAAAACCTTTTCAGATCTAGGGCTCTTAATCAATTGTCCGAAGTTGATCCTCTGCCCTTCACAGAGGTTTCCTTTTATAGGTGAAACTTAGTTATTTGTAAGGCACTAGAAAGATTTCCAAGTATTTAACTCTAAAGTAATATCATGACAAGTTTGTTCTATAATTAACGTAGTATTTTAAAATTTGGGTCTGAGAATTTTAAAGTTTGAGTAAAATTCTTTTTGGGGTCTTATGGTAGCCTACATGACCCCATTTGCCTATCTGAGAATGAGATGTATGCAGCACTGGATGTCTGTTCTACAGAACAAGTCAGTTGTTAGTCTAAGGCATGGTGATCATCATAACCCCCCTAGATTGTGGTCAGTCAAAATGACTGCTCAGGGGCGTACAGTTAAATCCTCTCGGACCATCCCAGTCAGTGAGTTTAGATGCATCAACCAAGGGCTGTGGGGGGGCGCGGTGCACTGGAATTATTTGACAACTCAAGGGCACCGCTCTGCTTAGGAGAAAACCCTGCACCTCAATGTATTGGAATTAAGAAATGTTCATCTGGCTCTCAAGTTGTTACGCCCCCCACCTGCAGGGGAGGGTTGTACAAGTGATTACAATACATCAGTAATTCATTCCACTGACAAGCTGCCGAGGGTGGGGGTTTGCAGTATTCACTCATCACTCCACCCTACTGTGTGCAGAGATACAAGGCTGTGGAATTGGTGTATTTTATTATGTAATTTACCTGTGGCTCTGCATCTAGCATTGGTGCAGCTGCGCAGATATGAATTTGTAGTGTAGACCTGCCCTGAGAGTGCTCTAGCTGACCTTGCTAGAAGATTATTCTACCTCAAGGCACCACGAGGTGGTGCAATTACCCATAAGTGTGAATATGCAGGGCTGTCTCTAAGAACTCTGCATACAGGTAAGTAACCTTCATTTAAGTTTACGCACACAAGGTAGAAAATTTTGGCTAACGTAGTTAAGGTGAAGCTTAGTTATTTGTAAGGCACTAAAAAGATTTCAGATTATTTAAGTGCAATGTAGTATGACAAGCTTAAATTTTAAAACTTTCAGACCCTAATTTAAAACACTCTTTCCTACCTTCATATTGGCTTGTTCTGTGTATTTTGGTACATGTTGTGACTACAGTTAGCACACGATTTTGCAAATGTAGCTTTTAAAATATAATCTATAGGGAGGGGGAAAAAATCTGGGTATGTCAGTCTATCAGCCTTACACGTTTTCTGAGGTTTAGTTACTGTCAACCCGGTTCAATTTTTTTTAACAGTAAATTTTCTTCCTCCCCTGGAGATAAAAGGGCCATAACTTCCTTTCCCAAAAGCTTTTTATAAAGTGTATTCTTTTTCTCTTAATTCTGAGGCATGTTTCTTAAATTCTATGAAGTAATCTTTCCTGATGCTGGCTTCTATTCCCAAGGCTGGGAATGGGCTGCAGAGCAGCACATTCTGGCCAAGAAGAGGAAGTAGTTGCTGTTCAGAGGAAACCTCTGACAAATTAAGTGTCTAGTATCAGAGGGGTAGCAGTGTTAGTCTGGATCTGTAAAAAGCGACCGAGTCCTGTGGCACCTTATAGACTAACAGACGTATTAGAGCATCTGTTAGTCTGTAAGGTGCCACAGGACTCTGTCGCAAAATTAAGTTGGAATTTAATTGCCTTCTTAGGAGAAGGAGAGTGGCTAATGTGGTGCTCCAAGGTTTAGTATACAAAGGGGGGGGGGGAGAAATGGAAAGATATTCAGGGCTCAGACATGGATGGTGAGGGCTCTTGTGCTAATGGAAGATCATAAATGTTAGAGACTGAAAAGACCAATTAGTCTCTTTCCTATTAATGCTGGATTATTTCTCTGGAGAAGATTTTTCTAGTATTTCTTTTATCCAGACTATTTTAAAGTTAAGTGGAGCTTCTACTTCTTTTTTCGGGATCTAGTTCACAAGTGAACACATACACACTGTCTTGCTAATATTGAACCTAGCTTTTTCTGTAATTTCTTATTAATTCTAACTTGTATGCCATTGAACCACCTTAAATCTCTTCCACTTTGTGTATACGTCCTTCAAATACATGTTTTTCCCCTCTATCCTCTCAAATAAATGATGCAAATTTAGCTCTTCCCTTTCCTCGTGAGTCCCAATCTCTCCTTGACAACTTCTAAAGTTGGTTTAGCTGGTCTGAGAGGTAAGGACTGTTGTGAGCATCTAATCAGACTGCACAACACTGCCCATAGAACTTTGTTCTGGGCTTCCCACATTCTGCCCATAACTTGTGGTTGAGCTAGAACAGTGGTTGGCAACATTTGGCACGCGGCTCGCCAGGGTAAGCACCCTGGCGGGCTTCCCGCCAAACCCATTGGCCCAGGACGGCGAACCACGGCCAGTGGGGGCCGCAATCGTCCGAACCTGCTGCGTCAGCAGGTAAATAAACTGGCCCGGCCCACCAGGGTGCTTACCCTGGTGAGCTGCGTGCCAACGTTGCTGACCCCTGAGCTAAAGCATATTTTTTCAGAAAGAGATCCAATCTGCGTTTAAAGATTTCAAGTGGTGGAGAATCCACCATGTCCCTAGGTAAGCTGCGTTCAGGGGAACGGCACATGTATCCTCTTTCTTCCAGCCCCCATGGCCCACTCCAGTTGTCCTAGTCAGGTCTCGGGTCTCTAGCTGTCCTGCTTGTATGGTGTATTTCTGAAAAATACATTACTGTAAGGGAGCTGTCACTTATGACTAGAACAGATTCCCCAACTGTTAACGGAATAAAAACTGCTAAAAACAGGTATGTGCCTGTGACTGTGCCTGTACCCAGGGTACAATCCGGACTAATGAGTAGCTGTCACCCCTGCCCTCTGCCCTGGGGTGCCTTCTATACTGCTTTGCTGCTCGAGTCTGGACTGCTCACACACCACAGCCACCAGCATACAAGTCACTCCCAGTTATGTCTCAGTGTGTGCTGAAGCCAGCCAGCCACACCTGGGCTCTTACCAGACTTGGTTGCGGGGTGACCCCAACACCCCCCCACAGTCCTAGATTTCCCCCCCAGAAACATGTCATGTACTGCCCAACCCTCTCCTGGACAATACAAGCGTATATAAAGTCCATCCTTTTATTGGTAGAAATTATATGCATACGTCTTGTTACCCCAAATGGAGTACCCCAAACACTTCAATTCAAACACACTGGATTAGATAAAACAAGTTTATTAACTACAAAGAGGCATTGAAGCCAGAAATGGTTGTAAGAAAAATAAAAGATAAAATGCAGCTCGTGCCTAACTTAAACTGTGGTAAATTCAAAGCAAAGTTTTTCTCACCAAATGCTCTCAGCAGTCTGACCAAACTTCTTGGGTCAGAACCCTTCTCCAGTTCAATGACTATTTCCTTTGTTCCTTCTGGTGCACTGAACCGATGGGCAGGGAGGGGTGGGGGGAAGAGAGAGAGGTGCATTGGAGTGTCTGCCCCTTCTTTTTATAGTCCTGTCTCCCCTTCAAGGAGCATTTCCAGCTGGGAGCAAGGCGACAGGCAGGCTGTGTGGAAGGGAACTCCATGCTGTTTCTTTGCTAAGATGTAGATTATTTTGCTCTGCCAAAGAATGGCCGTGTAGCAGGTAATGGTTGATCAGAGTTGTTTACACCTGGCTGAGGCATCAGCTTGCCCTTTGTCTCTGAGGAACTGGTTTGGCCATTCCCCAGACTTATCTGGAAAATGTACTTTTTAGTCATGATCTGTTCTGTTTATAACTTCACATATCATGCTGCTATGTGCATTTTGCCGTATTCTCGATTAGCAAATTGTTTTTAAATATCTCACAAGGCATAGTTTGTACAAGTATTATCACAATAGTGTGTAGGGTGTGGACATGGGTACGTTCTGTCACAGTTCCCTTCTTCCCCCCCTCCCCCCCAAAAAAAACCCCCATGACATCTTATGCATAGAGCTAGCTTTGTTCAGTATGTTTGTATTATACCCTTGCTTTACCTAAATAGAAGTAGTATTGGTGGGTGCTGATGGGGAGATAGATGGATGTAATCAATCCATGATACAGGAGGCATTGTACCTTGGTATCTGCTGTTATAGGTTTAATTTCAGAATAATTTGGGTTGGGAGGAACTTCTAGTGGATCATATGGCATACTGAGTGACTTTCACCACTCATACCAAGAGAAGCTCTGCTAAAGTCAATGGTTACACCACTGTAAAACCAGTGTGAGAGGAGAATGAGGAACTATTTATTTTGGTCTTTTTTTTCTTTGAACTAGTTTTAGTTACGACTATCCTGTAACTTTTACCAATCTCTTACTTGTTTATCTTTCTGCTATCTTGAACAGTCTGTGGCCACAAAACAAAAGATGAGCATTGGAACTTCTACACAAACCTTTTTTCACAAGGCTATGTAATGTGAGGAAGGTTTAAATCCAGGACTTCCATCATGACCAGAGAGCTTTTTTTTAAGTGCTATTTCTGTTGTTGAAATAAGATGACAAAATACTCTTCAAACCTCTGCAAATTTAGACAGTAACCTGTCCTATACTGGTGATTACAGCTACATTCTGACTTTTCTGTACATTGGAGAGTCCCAAAAAGTTAAACTATGGTGAAACATGATCAAATACAGTGGAACCCCGATTATCCAATCTAGTTGGGACTGGGGCCAGATTGGATAACCAGAAATCCAAATAAACTAGAGAATGGGTGGTGGGGGCTGACAGTCTAAACGGGGTTCTACTGTATAATATTCTTAAAAGCAATAAATGAAGCCTTGAGAACAGAGAATTGGTAACACTAATTTTTGTGTGATCCAGAAGTACTTTCTCATTGGCTCTTCTTTTTAAAGTTTTGGATCTTATCCACCTCTTTCAGTGCATGCTGCAGTCATTGCAATTAATGAAGCTATTGAGAAGGGAGTAGCAGATCAAACACTTATAACTCTGAGAAACCCAAATGCAATGCTGATGAATGTGGCTGAGGACCTTGCACCAGAATATCAGAAAGAACTCCTGGAAGCTAAAAGAAGAAAAGAGGAGAATGCAAGACTGAAGGTATTGAAACATATTTGGATTTTATTAACATTCTTAATAAGTTTGTTATTGCTGTATAAAAAGCGTGCATGCAAACTTTTTTAAAGGATTCTTCTAGGATTGCGTTAATAAGCTAGTGTATTCAAGATAAACTAGGTGAATGATTGTCACTATAGAAGATTGATCGCAATGGTCCCTTTTGGTCTTGGAATCTATGGAATAAACAGGCTGGAGGCAAACGTGTACAGGTATTTTGTGTTTGTACACATAACCCATGAATGTATTTGAGACGTGTAAGGATTATAAAATTCTTCTATTTTAGAATCCAAAAGATGCTCATTTTTCTCATTTACCTACTGGGTAGAAACAAAGTTTGTTAACCAAAGATTTATATAAAGTACCTTTTTCTGGGAGTAAAACATAATAATTAAGTATCGCATTCTATTGATAGAATTTTCCATTAATACAAAATTGCACTTGCGTCGTTCATTTCACAGTAACAGTTTCAATTTGAGAAGACAGGCTTTGATCAAAATATACACAATGCTTTACAATAAGCAGAGGGTGCTTTAAATATTCTAGGGAGTGCAGATCTTCCTATTGTGATTGATAAAGTTTTAACCACTCGTACTACAATGGCTATTCTACCATCTGAAAGTATCTTTGTGTTCCACTTTGTGAACCAGTAAGGATTTTGTTTTTAGAATGGCTCAATTTCAGAAGAGGAAAGAGATGTGTATGAAGAATTGCTGACCCAAGCCGAGATCCAAGGCAATATCAATAAGATCAACAGTAAGTAATTCTAGTTTCTTATGGAAATGGGCACATCATACCTACCAGTTATGTACGTATTTGTGTCAAATTCCAGACAAAGACATAAATTTACTTCTTTTACAGAAATAGCTTTTAAAAGTGGCAAATGTTTGTCAGCGTTACAACGGTTACTTTCAGTGTTGTGGGGCATCTTGCTGCTTTTTTTTCCATTATTAATCTCTTGGGATAATATCTTCTTTGGTTCTTGTTGCTGATATCAGACTCTTCAGTTCAGAAGCCAGTTGGTTTCACCTGCTTTATTTCCTTATGTTTCTGTTAGTTCCCACTAGCTGCAGCATACTGTAAATTTTGACCCCTCTTTTTAGATAGATGAGATTCAGACTTAGGCCCTGACCCTGCAAATGGATGAGTGTGGAAGAATCCTTATGCCTGCATGGAGTCCCTGTGGACTCTGTTTGAGGCTCTTGTAGGATTGGAGCCTTAAAATATAACCCTCTGCTGGATAAAAACTGTAACTGACTGGCTTGTATAAAGAGAGGTAAATACAAGCAGCAATTCAAAAAAAAAATTTTGCGCAAAAAATGTTTTTGCAGTTTGTAAGCGTTGTTTTCCTTTCAGTTCATGTAGCTTTAGTCCAAGTGAATGAGGCTATTGACAGGCAAGATGAAGTGGCATTGATGGCAGGTTTGAACCGTCCTGCTTTGAGCTTGTCTGGAGTTCTGCAGCAAAATTCCTCATGGTACCTAGCACAATTGTGTGACTGTAAAGAGCAGAGAATGCAGGTAATTGAATGGAATGTATGCTAGTATGACACTTGAGTTTGCATTTTTCTCTGCTTAAAATAGAAGTGACATCATCCTGAACTCTGTAGCCTGAACTCTACTGTTTTATGAAACAGTAAAGAATTTTGTAAAGTATTTTAAATGAATATTTTCCTAAACAATACAAAACTAGATGCATTTGCTGTAAAAAGCATGATGCAGTGGTAAAAAGCTGCTAAATGACAGATAAAGGGAATATATGTATATATAAATCCCTTAATACAAAGCTCATCTTGGGAACTAAACTTCTGACGAGTTTAGTATAGCAAAAAGGTAATGTTGACATAAACAATGGTGAATAAAGACCATTATAGAGAACATCTGGATTAAGGCAAAAATCTGTCATTTTAAAAGCGAGTCGGAAGTTTATGAAAAAACAAACACTATTCTTCAGTATGCCATTGTATTTGGTACTCAGCCAACATCATGGTCAATTCATAGTGGAATATTTTCCCTTCCCCTGCAAATTTAAAAAGCATAATGAAGTCTTTTTTTTTGTCTGATCTGTTAGCTAGCAGGGGTTCCAATTTTGCTCGACAAAAGTGAGATACAGAAAGAAGTTAGTGTTGCCAATGAGGAAGCTGAGGCTCTCCAGTTTAGTGAGTAAATGTTTTAATACTTGTTTTCATAATCACCATTTCATTACTCTTAATCAAACTGAAGAACTAAATCCACCTTTTTTGCATGCAAACAAGGTTTCTTTATAAATTGAAACCACATTGCATTTTATTTTTGCTACTGCTCTTTTCAATGTCACAATTGCCAAGTCACCAATCTGTGCCACTTTAGACACACATTATTTTATCTGAAGTAGCTAATGCTTTTCTTGGCTGAATATTTTCAGCTACTAGTGGACATACATGGCTAAAACGGAACATAATGCATGGCTTGTCTAAATAGACTTTTTTTGAATAGCCTTAATTTCTCTCGAAAGGAAATTTATTTATATCTTCTCTGGGTTAAAAATAAAATGATCAAATTGAAGAATAGCTTGCAGTCATATGCAGCAGAGGAAACTAGATTTCTCATTTTAAAATATTTACACTTTTAAAAATCTAGTCGGTCAGCCTGCTTAATGTTTTAGTACAGTTTATATATGGTACAATGGATCTACAATATGTTGACTAATGTTTTATTTTTGAAAAATTACAGTTAAGGGGGTTCTAAATTTTCAGCAGCACATCTATTGGCAATTGCTTCTCTGGCATTCTTTGTCTGCTAGGAGCTTCAGCTTTGAATAAACTGCTGTCCTATGTTGTCTGTGGCATGTGTTAGGGGCTGTTCTGTCTTCTGTGTCATTTAATATTTTTAATTCAGTCCATCTAATTGTTCTTCTGATGCTATGCAAAAACGTAGTTATAAGCCTAGTTTGCTATGCTATAATATGTAGACATGCATATTTTGTATAGCATCCAAGTCTCTTGTATAGGTAGTGATTTGGATTTTAGAATGATTCAGACATGGTGAATAGTATTTCCTTTTAGGAGACGATTGCTCTTGGGTAATGGAAAACTCCGAGGAGGGTAGTGCTATTTATTAGTATAGCTCCATCAGTGTCTTGGAGTAGGAAAAATGGGTTTGTTTCCTCTGTGTGGATTAAAAAAAAATTAAGGCCACGATATTGTGCTACCCACATGACTTCATGTGGCATGGAGAATTTCAATTCAGTTTTACTTCTAACCCATATTGATCAGTTTTCATTAGGGGAAGGCAGGTAAACAAATAAAACTAGCTCCTTCAAGAGGAGCTAGTTGAGGGTACCTATTAAAGAACTCAGAGTAGAGGCAAGCTGACCAAGGTACAAACTAAGGGCTTGGCTACACTTGCAGCTGTAGAGCACTTTGGGTTAAACCAGCCTTCGGAGAGCACACTAGGAAAAGCACTGCAGACTGTCCACACTGACAGCTGCAAGCACACTGGCATGGCCACATTTGTGGCATTTGCAGTGACATTGGGAGCAGTGCATTATGGGCAGCTATCCCAGCGTTCAAGTGGCTGCAACGTGCTTTTCAAATGAGGGAGGTGGGGTGGAGTGTGTTGTTTGTATGTGGGGGGGAGGGAGAGAGAGAGAGAGGGTTTTTGGAGTGCTGAGAGTGTGTCAGGACGCTATCTTGTAAGTTCAGATCCCTCTAGCCCCCCTTCCTCTCTCGCACTCACTCAGTAAACATTTGCTTTGCCCTGTTGCAGATAAGCAGCCGCTGTCTGAAACGGAGCTCTGAAAAGGCACTTCCGCAATCCTCTGCCGATTTCACAACAAAGAGAAGAGAGGCCACTTGACTTAAGGAGATTATGGGATGTCAGAGCGCTGTAATGTAAATCCTCGTTCACACTGGCTGTGGGGCGTCTCAGCCAATACGCAACAGCCGTTATCCCTCTCATAGAGTTGGAGTACCAGGAGCACTCTAGCCAGGGAGTCAGAGCGCTCTACGTGCCTTGCCAGTGTGGACGGGGAGTAAGGTAGAGCGCTCTGGGAGGCTTTATCGTGATATAAAGTGCCAGTGTAGCCAAGCCCTAAAACTAAATGTGACAGTACCACTGAAGCTACTACATGATAAATACCCAAGAACTTGGTAAATGCATTTGTGCACTATGGATATAGATTCATAATATCACAGTTGCATGCTCAGTTCCTAAGCATGGAAGTCATTGAAGCCAATTGATGGCTGCAGATTTTGATGCTATTTTGTTGCTGGCTCCTGGAACTTTTTTATTTTGAAGCTGCTGTATGCTGTCTGAAAGGCAAGCGCCTGTATTTTTTTTAACCTCAAGAACGGCTAAAATATTTATCATGCAGAACAAAACAAAATGCCCAATAGGACGACTCCTCATTTATTTCTAGTGTCCTGGGGCCAATGTACTCAGGCTCCATGGGTTTGAACTGCTCTGAGTCTTCCAATCAGTCAGGTTCTCCCTATTGTGCAACTGGAGATCTCCACTATGAGCTTTCTGCCTGAAAAGGGTGGACAGAGCCCATAGCATAGACCAGAGTAGTTGGTGGTGGAAGCAGGCCCTGATTATCCACAGATCCAGGTGGAGGGTGGGCCTGAAGAGTAGCAGGGTTGGGGAGGACATGTGACTAATTTTAAACTGCATCTGACTATTGACATTGCCTGTCCCAGCATTTTTTTTTTATTAATGGAGATCTCCTAGAACTGGAAGGGACCTTGAAAGGTCATTGAGTCCAGCCCCCTGCCTTCACTAGCAGGACCAAGTACTGATTTTGCCCCAGATCCCTAAGTGGCCCCCTCAAGGATTGAACTCTCAACCCTGGGTTTAGCAGGCCAATGCTCAAACCACTGAGCTATCCCTCCCCCTGTTCTCATCATAAGGTTGGTGAATGATGAGGTCTACAGAGAATTCATAGTTAAATCCCATCTGTCCCTGGTACTCACAGACTGAATTAAGAGAAATAAGTCACTCCTTCATTGAGAAGCACTCAAAGGGGATAAGTTCCTTAAATATAAAGATCATTTCTGTAAGGTTGATAGCCTGCCACCTGTGAAGGACACTGCTGGACTGGAAGTCTAGCTGCCACGAACAGCTCTGCCCTCCTAAGATCATAGAGTGTGTATCCACACTAAGGACAGTAATTCGACTTTGTGAGTCCACACTAACGGGGCAAGCGTCGACATTGGAAGCAGTGCACTGTGGGCAGCTATCCCACAGTTCCCGCGGTCCGCGCTGCCCATTGGAATTCTGGGTCGAGCCCCCAATGCCTGCTGGGGAAAAAAATGTGTCAAGGGTGGTTTTGGGTAACTGTCGTCATCCAACCGTCACTCCCGCCCTCCCTCCCTGAAAGCGCCGGTGGGCAATCGGTTCGCGCACTTTTCTGGTGCGTGACAGCACGGATGCCACAGCACTGCGAGCATGGAGCCCGCTGCGACCATCGCTGCAGTTATGGCCGTTGTCAGCACCTCGCACCTTATCATCCACCTTTTCCAGAGGCAGATGCTGAGTAATCGTGCGAGGAGGCTACAGCAGCGCGGTGAGGACATGAAGTCTGAGAGTGGCACAGACCTCTCACAAAGCACGGGACCCCGCGCTGTGAACATCATGGTGGCAATGGGTCATGTTGATGCTGTGGAACAGCGATTCTGGGCCCGGGAAACAAGCACGGACTGGTGGGACCGCATAGTGCTGCAGGTCTGGGATGAATCGCAGTGGCTGTGAAACTTTCATATGCGGAAGGGAACTTTCCTGGAATTTTGTGAGTTGCTGTCCCCTGCCCTGAAGCGCAAGGACATCCGGATGCGAGCAGCCCTGACTGTCCAGAAGCGAGTGGCCATAGCCCTCTGGAAGCTTGCAACGCCAGACAGCTACCAGTCAGTCGCGAATCACTTTGGTGTCGGCAAATCTACTGTGGGGGTTGCTGTGATGCAAGTAGCCAACGCAATCGTTGAGCTACTGCTGTCAAAGGTAGTGACCCTTGGAAACGTCCAGGTCATCATAGATGGCTTCGCCGCGATGGGATTCCCAAACTGCGGTGGGGCTATAGATGGAACTCGCATCCCTATCCTGGGACCGGACCACCAGGCCAGCCAGTACATTAACTGAAAGGGCTACTGTTCAATGGTGCTGCAAGCACTGGTGGACCATAGGGGACGTTTTACAAACATCAACGTAGGCTGGCCGGGCAAGGTTCGTGATGCTCGTGTTTTCAGGAACTCTGGTCTGTTTAGACGGCTGCAGGAAGGTATTTACTTCCCGGACCAGAAAATAACTGTTGGGGATGTGGAGATGCCTATAGTGATCCTCGGGGACCCAGCCTACCCGCTAATGCCCTGGCTCATGAAGCCCTATACAGGCGCCCTGGACACTGAAAAAGAACTCTTCAACTACTGGCTGAGCAAGTGCAGAATGGTGGTGGAGTGTGCTTTTGGACGTCTCAAGGGGAGATGGAGAAGCTTACTGACTCGCTCTGATCTCAGCGAAACCAGTATCCCCATTGTTAGCACAGCTTACTGTGTGCTCCACAATCTCTGTGAGAGCAAGGGGGAGACCTTTATGGCAGGGTGGTAGGTTGAGGCGAATAGCCTGGCTGCTGATTACGCCCAGCGAGACAGCCATGCGATTAGAAGAGCCCAGCAGGACGCGCTGTGCATCCAGGAGGCTTTGAAAGCTAGGTTCCTCAGTGAGCAGGGTAACCTCTTGGGACTTTGGGTGAGGGGGGTATGGGAGTTTGTGGCGGGGGAGGGCGGTTAGAGAGAGACTGCAGCGGGGCTCTGTCCTCCTGCCTCTGGTCCTGCAGAACATCCACAAGGCGCCGGAGCGTGTCCGTTTGCTCCCTCATTAGTCCAAGCAGCGTTTGAGTCGCCTGCTGGTCTTCCTGCTGCCACCTCTCCTCCCGTTCACTGTGTGCTCGCTGGTATTGCGACATGTTCTCCCTCCACTGGGTCTGCTGGGCCGCATCGGCTCGGGAGCAGCCCCTAAGTTCTGAGAACATGTCGTCCCATGTCCTTTTCTTTCTCCGCCTAATCTGCGCCAGCCTCTGCGAGGGGGATGCCAGGGTAGGTCGGGAGACAGTCACAGCTGTGGGATGGGAAAAAGGGAGTGAATTCCTCACAAAGATAATTTTTTGTGAACCATGAACACAGTCTTTCTCTGTGACCAAGACCATGCACAGCACCTATCACATGCGCACTCAGGACAAGGTCGAATTTTCGGCCTTCGCATTCAGTGCCTGGGGTCTTGGAGTGGAGATCAGACAAGCGGGGCAGGGCAGCGGAATTCGGGTAGCAGGCTGACATGATAAGCTGTAGACTTTTGACTGCTTAAAACTTAAATTAGAGCAGTGCCCTCCTTTCACGTTCAAAGCAATGCTCCTATCATTGGGCAGTTCCTGCTGCCGGCAATCTGGCAAGCATGACCTCTGCCCCGTCTCACCTCCTCGCGGCTGTCCCCGGGAAAGATCCCTGTATGCTGCCCCTCTCCCGCCTCCACCGCGTGATAGTAAACCGCCGGTGACAGTTCTGTAAAGGAACAGGCAAGCAGTCCCAATAGTAACATTCCCCTAATTCTAAGCAGGTCACCATGAGCAACATCACTCTGCTGAGAATTTCTGAGACCGAGAAAGAACGCATGCTGTGTGAAAGCCAGCAAAAACCAGGGCCGTATGCCGCCATGCTCTGCAAGGCAATGATCCCAGAGTACTTGATAGCCTGGTGAGGAAAAGTTTCCTACCACGGAGGACACAATAAGGCCGCTTTCCCCAGGAACCTCATGCAAAGACTTTCCAATTACCTCCAGGAGAGCTTCGTGGAGATGTCCCATGAGGATTTCAGCTCTATTCCCGGACATATAGACCTTCTTTTCCAGTAGCTGCACTGGCAAGGACTAAAAAGTAGAGCGCCTAGGGCAAACAAATCATGAAAAACCCATTGTTAATATTCCTGTTCTGTTCAAAATAAATGTTTACGTGTTTAAAACACTTACCGACTGATCCTTCCCCTGATTCAGAGTCTGGGTTAACGCCTGGGGACGGTTGCTAGGGGATCTCTGTGAGGGTGATGAAGAGATCCTGGCTGTCTGGGAAATCAGCGTTGTAAGCGCTGTCGACTGCCTCGTCGTCTTCCTCACCTTCCTCATCTTCCCCGTCCGCTAACATCTCCGAGGAAGCGGCCATCGACAATATCCCATCCTCAGAGTCCACGGTCAGTGGTGGGGTAGTGGTGGCGGCTGCACCTAGAATGGAATGCAGTGCCTCGTAGAAACGGCATGTCTGGGGCTGGGATCCGGAGCGTCCGTTTGACTCTTTGGTCTTCTGGTAGCCTTGTCTCAGCTCCTTGATTTTTCACGCGGCACTGCGTTGCATCCCGGCTGTATCCTCTCTCTGTCATGGCTTTTGAGATCTTCTCGTAGATCTTCGCATTCCGTCTTTTCGATCGCAGCTCCGAAAGCACGGACTCATCACCCCACACAGCGATCAGATCCAAGACTTCCCGATCAGTCCATGCTGGGACCCTCTTTCTATTCTGAGATCGCATGGTCACCTCTGCTGGAGATCTCTGCATCGTTGCCAGTGCTGCTGAGCTCGCCACGATGTCCAAACAGGAAATGAGATTCAAACTGCCCAGACAGGAAAAGGAATTCAAATTTCTCTGGGGCTTTTCCTGTGTGGCTGGTCAGAGCATCCGAGCTCGGACTGCTGTCCAGAGCGTCAACAGAGTGGTGCACTGTGGGATAGCTCCCGGAGCTATTAGCGTCTATTTCCATCCACACCTACTCTAATTCGACATGGCCATGTCGAATTTAGCGCTACTCCCCTCATTGAGGAGGAGTACAGAAATCGAATTTAAGAGACCTCTATATCGAACCAAATAGCTTCGTTGTGTGGACAGGTGTAGGGTTAATTCGATTTAACGCTGCTAAATTCGACATAACCTCCTAGTGTAGACCAGGCCTAAGTTACAGTAATTGCAGTTTCTTTCACCTACAAGATGAGATCTAGCACTCTTGGGCATCATCTGTTGTGTTGTCCTCGGTGTGTGTGTTAACCCAGAGGTTTTTTTTATTTTAGAGGCTAGTTCTGAGCTCACTCAGGGATATACTTCACCCATATTGAAGGGGGAGGACTACAGTAAATGTCACTAACAGTTTTCCTTATTTAACAGTCTTTTAGATTGGCTTTCCCCAAAGTAATTTAATACCATTTTAGTTAGCAGTGCTTGCAGTGGCTATTGAAATTCAGTCATGTTTCCTTATGAAAAAAATTAGACAAGTGCACATAAAAGGGGAGAGAATAGCAAAGGATAAGATGCAGCTTCTGTTTGTTTTACTCAGTTTAGCTGATGGAAAATTCCAGTCACAACAAGTGAGCCACTGTGGAACTTGGCAAACTTTTTACCAGGCTATTAAGGCATTGCTCTTAGCTTATCTTGTTGGTCACATTGGTGCCTCAAGTGTAGACTTGTCCTTCCTAGTTGTGTTGGACTCTTACTAGAAGGGGGAAAATGGGAATACAATGGAGGTAGAAGAAATAAAACCGAGAAAGAAAGTAACATAGGTTGACATTCCAGGGTCAACCTATTGGTCAAACTCAATAGAGAGGTCATGGCAATCCCTGGATTAGTCAAGTCATCTTTCAGGTCTAATGCATTGATCATGGACTTATGTTAAGCTGTTGACTTCCACATGCTTTTTGAACAGAAATCATTTTTGCAAGAATGTGAAGTAGTTTCAGTGTGTTTAAAAATGCATCTCTTGCAGGTATACAGCTATAGCTTTCTTGAGGAATGGTAGCATATGATGTAATGTTGGGATACTATTTGCCTACACAACATCAGTATTTAAAAAAAAAAAAAAAAGACAGATGACAAAAAAATTGATAAGATTTTTTTCCTACTTCCCCCAGAACTTGTAGCAGTTGATCATATCAATACTGCAATTCGTAACTGTGATGCTAATAAAACATTGGTTGCACTGATGAAACCAGAGGCCCAGTTGCCTGTCGTTCACCCATTTGCTGCTGCTGTCTATCAGACTGAACTGTTCAACCTTCAGCAACAGAATGCTGTGGTAAGAGTGAAAAACTTACGAATTGCTATTCAGTAGTGTGCAGTCAAGCCATAAAGGATCAGGAACACTGATGCATTGTCATTTGTTGCAGTTTTGTTACTTAGAACTATCAGACCATTTATCATACCAGATTCTTCTAATTCCTGCCTTGAGGTGTATTCTATTAAAATCCAGGAATATTAATGCAAGTGCTTGCCTGTTCAGATTGTTTTCTTGACTGATTTAGCCCGTGCTAACTTTTGTACTGCAACAAAGTGACTGACCTTCACTTTTTTTGCTGTTGCATACACTATCTCTCATCTTAAGGTTGACTGTGTTTTATGGAGAGTCATCAGCCGGACTGGGGGGGAGTCCACATTTTGATTAAGATTAGACTAGGCTTGACTGGAAGGACTGTATTATGTGGGACAATCAAAGAAAAGGCTGAGGAAAGGGAGGCTATATAATGAATGCCTAGTGATTTAGTTCTACCACTCACAGTACAGTAAGCTGACATTTCTATAGCTATGACATTTTCTCCTCCTATTTTTAATATTTGTTTTAAATCAAATCCATGCCTCCCTCCTTTTGGCATCTAGACTTTAATTAAAACTGGTTACCCCTACTTGTTTAGCTTTATGACTGATGTATTCTATGTTCCTATAGAGATATTTGGCACATGATGAACTGTCTATTGCTGTGGAAATGTTGTCAGCTGTTGTGTTACTAAACCAGGCCTTGGGAAGCAAAGACATCCTGGCAATAAAGAGTCATCTCAGAAATCCATCCATTGGCTTCAATAATCTGGAAGACGAAAACTTTCAACGGTAAAAGTTCATTTTGTCTTGTCCAAATGAGCAACAAAGACTTCTGCAAAGGGATGAGTGGGCGATTATCAGCTATTTTTCCAGAGTTGTGAGATGAAGTTGAAAAGGCTACAAGCTAAACATTTGCACAATATTAACAGGAGAGATTATTAGGGCTGCTCAGCTGTAATGCTCCATCTGCAAAAACATAAGCCATCAAACATCACTGAATGTTTGAGGATACAGAGGTCGGGGGGTGGGATGTTCTTGGAAGCTAAACATCATGAGCTGAGAGGCGTTGCTGTTGTGGCAATGGATATCTGGACTTAGTTGGAAGCCGCTAGTCACTAGTGTCTTACTGAATTTTTGAGAGAAGACCTGAGAATGAATATTGTGTGTGTAATGTAAAGTAAGGCTATCCTAACAGACCTGTCTTGCTTAAGAATGGTAGAAGCCTATGTGGTAAAAACCCTATTTGCTAAATAGCTGGGCACAACATGGTAGTGTAGATACATGTTCCATTCAAGTTGTAAATTCAAACTCGAGATTAGTAGCTTTTGTTTGGTGTTTGATTTTTGTCACAGCTGTGTACCACCTTGTGTTCTGATCCTGTCATATCTCACATGCAAAGGACAGTCAGGCTGAATCAGTACTTGTATAGGAGACCTCCAATGAACACTAACAGTGCTACAGTAAGGAGTGTTGGTGAGGCATTAGGTAATACTTTTTTCACCACAGTTGTGCTTGATGGAATTCCCTGGGCACTGCAGCTGGACATGCTGCTGCTAGATGAGTTGCAAGAGAAATCCTGACCATTGAAGATAGCTCAAAAAGAAGTTATGGGCATGATATAGAAATTACTGGATGAAATTCTGTGGTCTCTGTTTTGCAGATCAGACTAGAGGATCCTAATGCTCCCTTTTGGCCCTAAAAATCTATAATTTCATGGCATTTTTAACAAGAATGGGGTCTGGTTCTTCCAGGCTACAGAACCTATACATGCAAGGGGCTCTGAGTTGAAAAGGGTACCTCAGAGTAACAAAAAAAATTGCGCATAAATCCTACTAGCAATGAGTAGAGCACTGCTCTCTCCTTCATGGACAGGGCTGCTGTCAGCGGTTAGATAGAAATTTTGTCCTGGACTTGGTGTGTTGCAGAGCTGCCTAAGGGGTCTGTCTATTTCAGGGACACCTTCAAAATTTCTGCCTGTAGTGTCATGCATCTCTCACTAACAACCCCTCCTTGGTATTGTATTGGCTGTTGGGGATGACCCAAAGGAGAAAGGTATGGAGTCTGCGTTGAATGTCCTCCCTCGCAGCCCACCAAACCCCCAGGATCTTTTTTCTCCTTGGCAAAGGTAGGAGAGAATAGGGCTCTCTCTCCCTGCAGCCAAAAGCAAGACATTAATGTTTTGAGGGCAGGGGAGGAGAATTACATAAGTGGATGCTGCAGAATGGGGAAGAGAAATTAAGGGCCCCACATGAGCAGGTTATTGGAGAAACATTAGATGTGCTCGGAACAGCCTTGGCTGTTATCCCTGAACTCCTTGCCAATTTCCACTTCTGATAATTACACTCTACCTACTTTATATACCCCCTGCAGTCTTAGTTGGATGAGGTGTGCTTCACTTACAGTTCTAAGATGCGTAGCATTGCTACAAGCTGTTAAAACACTCAACAAGTGGAAGAATTTCACTGATGGACTAAGTTGGTGGGAAACCTGCGGCCCGTCAGGGTAATCTGCTGGCAGGTTGCGAGACAGTTTGTTTACATTGACCGTCCACCTGTAGCTGCTAGTGGCCGTGGTTCGCCGTTCCCGGCTAATGGGAGCTGTGGGGAGTGGCGCGGGCCGCAGGGACGTGCTGGCCGCTGCTTGTAAACAAAAATCCTGCCAGTGGATTACCCTGATGGGCCACAGGTTGCCCACCACTGGACTAAGTGCTTTGGGATGATTGACTATGAAATGTTAAATTGTACATATCTGATACTTAACTTTATGATGCGATTTTTTTTTTAAAAGACTACACCTCCTTAGTATATTTGACTATAGTGTAATTAAAAAACAAGCAAACAAAAGGAATCGTGGCTGTTGCCATGAATTAATATAAACTTTTAATGTCAAAGAACATCTCTGTAATTTCTTGGAAGATGTTTCGGTCTTCTCTTAAAATCATTATTTACTTGACACACTGCATATCCTTGGAATGTTTTTATATCTATTAGTAGTGTGGAGCTACTGTAAGGAACGTGCTTTGGGGTGACATGATATGGGATTATTTCAGATCACAATATGAGCTCACAGTGTGGCGCTGTGGCCAAAAGAGCTAATGCAATCTTTGGCTGTATAAACAAGAGAATGTCAAGTAGGGGTTGAGAGATTTTTACTTCTGTATTTGGTACTGGTGCAACCACTGCTGGAATACTGTATCTAGTTTTGGTGCCCATGATTCAAGGGTTTGGAGAGGGTTCAGAGAGAACCTGGAGAGGGGTCAGAGAAGAGACTGGACAATGATTAAAGGATTAGAGAACATGCTTTGTAGTGATAGACTTAAAGAGCTCAGTCTCTTTAGTTAAACAAAGAGAAGATTATGGGGTGACTTGATTAAAAGTATCTACATAGGGAACAAATATTTAATAATGGGCGTATACCACAATCCAGTGGTTGGAAGTTGAAGCTAAGCAAATTCAAACTGCAAATAAGGCATAAAATTTTGACAGGAAGGGTAATTAACCATTGGAACAATTTACCAAGGGTTGCGATGGTTTTCCATCACTGATCGTTTTTACATCAAGATTGTGTGTTTTTAGAAAAGCTCTGCTCTAGGAATTATTGTGGGGAAGTTTTGTGGCCTCTGATATACAGGTCAGACCAATGATCACAGTGGTCCTCTCTGCCCTTGGAATCTGAGTCTCTGAAATGTATGTGTAGAGCCAAGTAAGGCAACTTGCATGCTGCCTGTTTACATGGTGCCTGGCTGCAAACACTTATAATCAAGTTTTTCACTTTCATGTGCACTAGATTCATCCAGTAAGAAAAAAATAATGAAATACATACAGTAAATGATGGACAATACATTTAATGACTCTTTATGATGATTTATATTTTATATCTTCCTACAGTTATGCTGACACACTCTTGTCTATTAAGTCAGAGGCTTCATCTCAAGGACAAGATTATTTAAGCTGGAATGATGTCCAGAATTGTATTGACATGGTTAATATGCAAATTCAAGAAGAAAATGACAGTAAGTAACTCTGACTTTGTCAGAGGCAGAGGTTACTGTGGTCCCTGGAGCACTTGCTGGAGGTTTATGGAGTGCCGGCTTGCCACATAGAGATGCTTTTTATTTTTAGTGGTAAAATTGCAATTAGCCAAAACCAAAAACCACTAATTGTTTTCCTAATATTTTCAGTATGAAATTGTGGTAGCTGCAATTAAAAATGAGAACAGATGTGTATCACACACCATAATAAAATGTGGTGCTATAAATATAATTTAGTTTCTATTTCGTAGTAGGCAGTAGAGATTTGTATTTTGTCCTATAACAAAGATTTTTGCTTTTTTTCCTAAATAGATTTGAAATTAGTAATTCCTGTTCCCCAGCATAGCATCTGGATGATAATTCTAGAGAGGAGGACTAAAACAGTTATCATTTTAAACAAAATTGAGCGAAGACTGAATGCCCCTGCTAAGTGTTGACTCGAGAGAAGGGAGCATTCAATGCAGTAGTTACTGGCATTACTCCTTTAAATCCTTTTTCACCTCTCTGAAATCCTCTTGGTATTTCCTGATTCGCTGAAGGGGTCCCTGACTACATCACTTCTCTGACATCACAAATGCCATAGTTCTAGCGGAGGCAATAAGACTTCTATTCATCTGTATTCATATTGGGCCAATAATTCTGGTACTTAATCAGTGAAGTCCCAAAATGAGATTAAGTTAAGTACAAGAAGAGTTTCAGATGGGAGGGGGAAAGGTGGTAGTGGTTGGCATTTTACACACTTTCTGTGTTGAATATCCCTCACATAATCCTTACTGGAGGCAGTCAGTACATAACTGTGTCAAAAGCAATTCTTTTCCTGCTCTCCTTTAAAAAATAAAATGGGGTTTGTTATATCTCATTGTGCTTATCCTAAATTATTATCTAGCAATGTATGCCTTAAAACGTTTCCAGGTTGAAAAATAGTGCATGTTTCTTACGTGGGTTTCAAACCTTTGGACTATAAAACTGTTAGGGAATTGAGTTTTGGTTGGCGTAACCCCTTTGCTGCTAGACAAATGCTTTTTTCAGCATGGTCTTTTTGACAAAACATCAAGCTGTGATGTGTACACTTCAGCAAAGAAGGGTAGTATTCAGCAAACAGAGCAGTTGTCAATAACTAAAACAGTCTGCCTTTTTACATAATCAGATTGATTTTTTGGGAGGGGGAGGCTGTTAAGTACATGCAGTGCTGCTTTAAGTCCATCAAAATTGAGGTGCTCAGTGTCTCAAACTTGGACCTCATGTTAGCAACTTTAGTCCTAATGAATAGTAGCTGTTTTCAGATTGCATTGGTCTACTATTGCCCCCTGGCAGGAGGCAGCTCTGCTTGGAACTGTACATAGTACCAACAGAGCGTTCTGAAACGTGCTGCATCTAAATCGCCCTGCTTCCCAGTGCACAGAAATTCCCTTTCCTCACTGGTAGTGCCCCCATGGTTGTCATAAAAAACCCAGCTTACATCCACCTGAGAAATAGCCAGTCTCCTAAGAGGTTATGGCCTTGTGAGGTCACATAACTATGACCTCACCAGTTCAGTTTTATATACACACTATGGAAAAACCTCAGCAGATCCCAGGCAGCCACCAACTGGAATGCACACTGTCACAGGTGATGGCAAAGCAATCCGCAAGAATTTTTATACTCACTCACAGACTTGGTGTAGCAGGGTTGTATGCCCTCAGGACAGTGTGTTTCAGTGCTTTCTGTTAACTAGGGTCATAATTTCTAAACTGAGTTGTCAAAGATAGCTACCTAAATACATTTAAAAAAAAAATCAGACCACTTTTCTCAGAACTGCTGCATACCCCATAGTTCGGTGAATTCAGTGGGAACTATGGGTGTGCAGCAGTTTTCAAAATTAAGGTATTTTTCCTTTAGGCAGCCAAGTTTGAGAATTTTGACTTACATGCACGTTCCAGATAAATTGTTCCGTGATGTTAAAGTGGTGATGTTGATGACTTGAAAAGATATTATAATCTCCATAAGTTCAGAGGTCAGAATATGTATGTGTATTAGAAAAACTAATGTTAAATTATTTGGAATAGTCAGACATGAAAATCACTTCAGAATGATTACTTGAGCACTGCAACGTAAACAAGCCCAGACCTTTACACTCAGGTGTTGAATCCGTTTGTTTGAAGAGATGTATATGGATCATCCTACTGTAGAACAAAATGGGGAAACTTTTCCTTTTTAGAAAAGGATATGGGTTTTTTTTGTTTTGTTTTTAAATCAGATTCAGTTAAACAATTGGCTGTCAGAGGAGGAAAAATCTGGTCTCAGTGGCTGGCTTGGCATGAACTGCCAATATCTGAGAAGAAAGACTTTAGAATTTGCTGCTGCTACTTACCGTAACTTGATGTTCACACTTACTCATTTATGACACTATCCTTTTTTTTGAATAAACCTGATATGTGGCTGGGCTTTTTCTGTTAAATGTTAATTTCCCTTTTTTCTTTCTTAGGAATTGTTGCGATTAGCTACATTAATGAAGCTATTGACCAAGGCAATCCTGAGAAAACTCTAGAAACACTGCTGTTGCCTACAGTCAAATTGCACGATGTGAACCCAACAAATGCAAGGCATTATCAAGATGTTCTGCACTATGCCAAAGTGCAGAAATGCAAGGTAGAATCTCAATTGACTCATCGATACTTGTCAGTTTACTAATTGCCAAACCTGAATGTATGTTCCCCAACACCACCACACTATATTTGCAGTGGTTGTGGTGTCTGTGTGTCTCTCTCCTGTGCCAATTCAAATGTTATCTGAGCATCAAGTAATTCTACCTCCCTCTGAAACTTTTAGTGTGAATGGGAGCTGGGGAGGATAAAATCAGTTGTGCATGCTTGTCATTGTGCATGTGATGTGTCCTAGTTTAGCTAATCCTGTCATGGTCACTTCAGATATTTAAGAATGTGGTATTTATGCCATAATTGTGCTGAAGCAGTTATCTGAGCTGAGCAGGAGATCTGGCCTCTTGTTTCTGGGATTAGGGATGGATGGGTATTTCACAGCTAGAAGGAAAGCTGGGGCTTTTATCACTAATGGGAGGTTTGAAGCATTGACAGTTTTCAAAAGAAATTCCTGGAAATTACTCCTTCCTGAATACTCGCATTGCTTAAAAGTAAACTTGGGTTTTTGATGGTCTTTATGATCCCTTTAACTTTGACACCATCCTTTTGTTGTTGTTGTTTGGTCATAATATTACAGCTTGTTGATTATCTTTCTGATATGCTACTTAGGGTAAACCATCTTAGCAGGATACAAATGTCAGCTTCCATATAAAGCTGTGCCTTGGCTAGCATCAGAGTTTTAGGAATTGTAAACAGATGAACATAACTGCTTTCAGAATGTAATTGAACACAAGATGAACTATAGCTTTTGGCAAAGTGTTTAAAATGTATTCTCAAGTATTCTATGTCTAACAATCACGTTGTACATTCCTAAGCTAAATTATGGGCGCTTTCGCTGCATGGTACTTAGTTTATAGCAGCATATATAAATACTCTCTGGTCATCTGCAGTAACTACAATGAGGGGAGGGCTTAACATTTTATGGAAGCTGTATTGGCTTTTGAAGTAAACCTTTCACTTTTCCCAATTCTTATCAATTATGGTGGTACTCTGATTAAAAACAAACTTCATCATAGTTCATGACAAGAAATTTTAAAGAGTATTCAGCTTGAAACTTAGTCAGCTTAAAACTACATTCAGTGCCTTTTTCAAGTACTTACAGTTGCCCTGCTGTCCCCCTTCTATGGGCAGGTCTTCACTGGGGGTTAAGTCGACCTAAGTTACACAACTCTAGCTACATGAATAACATAGCTGGAGTCGACGTAGCTTAGGTCGACTTACTGCAGTGTCTACGCAAGAAACACTCCCATCAACTTACCTTATGCTTCTTGTTCTGGTGGACTACCAGAGTCGATGGGAGAGCGATCGACGGTCAATTTAGTAGGTCTTCACTGGACCCGCTAAATCAACCCCACAATGGATCGATTGCCGCAGCATCTTTTCTTGCTTTTTGCAGTCCTTTCTCTGCTACTTTAAATGTGCTTTTTCTCTCCTTTTGCTCTGTGAAAAACTCTCAAAAAAGCAACCCAAATAACTGATTACTGCAAAGGAAAGATTGAATTTTAAAAAAAAAAAGTAATGTATTTGAGAACGCAATATAGTCAGTCTAATAAATTACAGTAATTTGGGTTGTAACTTGTAACAGGGGCAGGTAAACATTTTTAGACAGATATGATTTTAAGTTGTCTCCTTTTTAAACAGCGAAGACTATATTCAGTTTCTTCAGCCACTTTTTATTTTATTTGGCCTTTTACTGGCAAAACCAAAGTTCAGTAAAATCCAGCATACTCACCGTTCCTGCCCCCCAGAAGAGCTCCTGTTCATATAAGCAGACGTTGCCTCCAATTTAACTGTCATAGTTTTAAGGATGAGGTATGGAGGTTAAAAGCAAGTGTCTGATTTGCAAGTATTAGTTAGGACTGTACCTGAGGGTATGTCTACACTACGAGAGTAGTTCGATTTTACTTAAATCGAATTTTTGGAATCGATATTGCAAAGTCGAACGTGTGTGTCCACACTAAGGACAGTAATTCGACTTTGTGAGCCCACACTAACGGGGAAAGCGTCGACATTGGAAGCGGTGCACTGTGGTCAGCTATCCCACAGTTCCCGCAGTCCCCGCTGCCCATTGGAATTCTGGGTCGAGCCACCAATGCCTTCTGGGTAAAAAAATGTGTCGAGGGTGCTTTTGGGTAACTGTCGTTATCCATCCATCACTCCCGCCCTCCCTCCCTGAAAGCGCCGGCGGGAAATCAGTTCGCGCACTTTTCTAGTCAGTGACAGCGCGGACGCCACAGCACTGTGAGCATGGAGCCCGCTGCGACCATCGCTGCAGTTGTGGCCGTTGTCAACGCCTTGCAGCTTACCATCCACCTTTCCCAGAGGCAGATGCAGATAAATCAGGCGAGCAGGCTACGGCACCGCGGTGAGGGCCTGAAGTCTGAGAGTAGCACAGACCTGTCAGAAAGCACGGGACCCAGCGCCGAGGACATCACGGTGGCAATGGGTCATGTGGATGTTGTGGAACGGCGATTCTGGGCCCGGGAAACAAGCACGGACTGGTGGGACCGCATAGTGCTGCAGGTCTGGGATGAATCCCAGTGGCTGCGAAACTTTCGCATGCTGTCCCCTGCCCTGAAGTGCAATGACACCCGGATGCGAGCAGCCCTGACTGTCCAGAAGCGAGTGGCCATAGCCCTCTGGAAGCTTGCAACGCCAGACAGCTACCGGTCAGTCGTGAACCACTTTGGCGTGGGCAAATCTACTGTGGGGGTTGCTGTGATGCAAGTAGCCAAGGCAATCGTTGATGTACTGCTGTCAAAGGTAGTGACCCTGGGAAACGTGGAGGTGATCATAGATGGCTTCGCCGCGATGGGATTCCCAAACTGCGGTGGGGCTATAGATGGAACTCACATCCCTATCCTGGGACCGGACCACCAGGCCAGCCAGTACATCAACCGAAAGGGCTACTTTTCAAAGGTGCTGCAAGCACTGGTGGACCATAGGGGACGTTTTACAAACATCAACGTCGGATGGCCGGGCAAGGTTCATGACGCTCGCGTTTTCAGGAACTCTGGTCTGTTTAGACGGCTGCAGGAAGGTATTTATACGGACCACAAAATAACTCTTGGGGATGTGGAGATGCCTATAGTCATCCCTGGGGACCCAGCCTACCCGCTAATGCCCTGGCTCATGAAGCCCTATACTGGCGCCCTGGACACTGAAAAAGAACTCTTCAACTACCGTCTGAGCAAGTGCAGAATGGTGGTGGAGTGTGCTTTTGGCCGTCTCAAGGGGAGATGGAGAAGCTTACTGACTCGCTGTGATCTCAGCGAAACCAATATCCCCATTGTTATAGTAGCTTGCTGTGTGCTCCACAATCTCTTTGAGAGCAAGGGGGAGACCTTTATGGCGGGGTGGGAGGTTGAGGCAAATAGCCTGGCTTCTGATTATGCCCAGCCAGACAGCCGGGCAATTAGAAGAGCCCAGCGGGACGCGCTGTGCATCCGGGAGGCTTTGAAAGCTAGGTTCCTGAGTGAGCAGGGTAACCTGTGACTTTTAAGTTTGTGTTCAGAGAAGCTGAACCTGCCCCCGTTTCTTTACCCAGTTAATGTTGACTATCCTCTCCAGTTACATACCCCCTTCACCCCCTTCCAACACACGTTTAGAAATAAAATCATTTCTACTTTGTTAATGAACACCGTTTTCTTTATTACTGTTTTCGCGGGAATGTTTTAAACCTGGGACGCAGACTGTGGTGGGGAGCGGGTGTAGTGTAGTGACGCAAATGACGCTTCTCAACTCCAGGAATGACAGGCTCCGCACTGGTGGACTGGTTGTTTCAACAGAGCCTGTCACCCCTCCTGATCGGGACTGTGTGTATGTGGGGGCTATGTGACTTTGTGGCACGGGGGAGGATGGTTGCAGATCCCCTGCTGCGTGGCTCTGTGATCCAGGATAAGGACCGCTGCATAAGATCTGTAACTGCCCTCCCCCGCCACAAAGTCACAGAGCAACCCACCCCCCACCACAGAACATGAAAACCACCTCCCAGACTGACCAGGGTAACTAGTGACTGCACTGTGTATGTGCCCTGCTGCTGGACCTGCCCCTGCCTATGTACCCTGCTAAAGGTGACTGTCCTGTCCAATTACCAACCTCCTTCCCCGCCTTCAGACAGACTCTCCTCCAAAAGAACATGATGGAAACAGTAATTAACAGAAACGTGTATTTTATTAGCAACTACACATGAAACTGGGGGGTGAAACTTGGACAGGGGCTTGTGTGAGGCGGGAAGGAAAGGACTTGTCAAATTTTGGGGAATGAGAGCCTTCTACTACTAGAGCAGTCTGCAGGGGTGGAGTGAGAGTTTGCACGCACTCTGCCGCCCCTCCTTCTTTGGACTTTGGGTGAGGGGGGTATGGGACTTGGTGGCGGGGGAGGGCGGTTACAGATAGACTGCAGCGGGGCTCTGTCCTCCTGCCTCCGTTCCTGCAGAACATCCACAAGGCGCCGGAGCGTGTCCGTTTCCTCCCTCATTAGTCCAAGCAGCGTTTGAGTCGCCTGCTGGTCTTCCTGCCGCCACCTCTCCTCCCGTTCCATGTGTGATCAGTGCATTTGGGACAAGTTCTCCCGCCACTGGGTCTGCTGTGCTGCCTGGACTCAGGAGCAGCCCATAAGTTCCGAGAACATGTCCTCCCGTGTCCTCTTCTTCCTACGCCTAATCTGCGCTAGCCTCTGGGAGTGTGATGCCAGGCTAGGTTGTGAGACAGTCACAGATGTGGCTGTGGGAATGGGAAAAAGGGAGTAAATTCCTCAGAAAGATAAGTGTAGTTGTGAACAAAGAACATAGTCTTTCTCTGTGAACA